ATCAAATCCATAGTTCTAACATGGACAGATAACTCTCTAGGAAAGATACAGAGGATTACGGATAATAGATATTATACTATCAGGTAAAACAATTTGAGATGGTTTTTGAGAGGTTTTTTTTGGTGGTTTGGTTTTTACATCAGCTTCGCACCTACAAAGTACAAGACATATGGCGAATTTCCAGTTGTACTGGTAGAGAAAGACCTTGGATGCAGCCTCCTTGCATTATTTTAGGCATGAACAGGTGGGTGTCTGAGAGCCATCGATGTTCAGTATCCTAGCTGGATGGTTTGCTCATATGAAAGGATGATGGAATTGTTTTTAGATGATAATTTTATGTTAAATTTGTCAAAAATGTCTTGTGGTGGCATGAATAAGTTGTAAATGTCAGACTATTAATCTAAGGGTCACTTGCCACATTGGTTCAAATCCCATCAGGGACAAGCCATTGTTTACTTGAGCAAGAAACTTTACATGCTTTATGCTTAGTCCTGGCCCCAAGGTTATAAAACCTTTTTCTGAGATCAAGCTCGAATCTCAGGATTTTCATTGGTCAATTCACATTCTGTGCCTGTTTCTGACCAATCAAATACCAGAGATCTGAGTTTGAGATTAGAATATTTCTTTATAATCTCGGCCCCTGGTCTGAAGAGTGTTGGTTTGAGAATAGCTGTCTTACAAACAAAAATTTAAATAAATTCTGTATAAACTAATTAATCTTGAAATTTTAGGTTGACATCGATTCCAGGCCGCGGGAAATATAAATACGTGAACAGTACTGAACTTGTGAAACACATTGATGACCTGAAACCGGACACACTGTACGAGTTTAGTGTACGCGTGTTTAAAGGCCGTAGGAAGAGTACGTGGTCAATGGCGGTGTCGAACAAAACGCAAGAAGCTGGTAAGTAATTTTTTATACATCTTTGTTATTAACAGTTTCTGAATTGCAAGAGGGAGAGTATATCGGATTTGTAATCCAGGGTTCCATGGTTCGATCCTCAGGCGAGGTGAATTTCTCAGTGACAATTTTTCTTTGGATATTTAGTCTTGTGACCATTAAATGCTTCATTGTTACATTATGAAGCAAGCCATTGTATTAAGCAAAAGTCAGTAGATACATTAAAGATACATAGAGAAAATGATTGACGGAATTACAAAGTGGTTTGCTAAAGACAAAAGTCACTGAATACACATGGTCACATGGCAAGTTTGACTGTATTTGACTCTTAAACACTTATAAAAGCTAGGATTTCACAGTGGAATTTGAAAACTAATTGAAAATTTAAATTTATCTTTTTTTTTTACAGCCCCAGGCTCAATTCCTAGAGATCTAACGCCAATACCTGTTGAGAATGACCCCCTGTCTGTGACGCTGACATGGCAGCCCCCTCAAAAGCCCAACGGACAAATAACAGGTAGGTGTAACAGTAACTATAGCAACGTTTCTGCTTTCATTAACACTATAGTAGTGGAGGAATTGTAAATATATGATTTTGCTTTTGGTGACAGGGTTAACATTTTTTTTTAAAGTTTAGCGCATAACAAGTGTAACTCTAGAGAATAAATACATAGTAGATACAATCGTTTTGCTTTGAATTTGTTGCAAGCAATAAATGTTCTGCAGTTATTTGTTTTGATAATGCTTTATTAATGAATATAACATGGAAAAACACAAATCATTGCAGTCTATGAATAAACATAGCCTTATTAAACATAAAGCTGAACTTTAGGTAACAAATATAATTTAAGATTTACCTAATATAATTTGAGATATCATAGAAATATTTGTAAGTTATTCTATATTGATTGTGCAGTTCAAGTAGAAACACTAACCGCTAATTGAAGTTTATAGCTTTTCTTTTTTCTTTGGAAAAGAAATATTTTTTTTACGCTTCTAGATAGGATTTTTAAACTTTGACCTAGATTCATGACCTAGTTTCATGACCTAGATTTAAGACCTAGATATTTATGCATGATGAATTAGCATGGAAGGCTTTCGCTAACAATTGTAGCAGCTTTACTACTTGCTGTTTTGATCTACTTAGTCTTTGTCACAGTTCTCAGTGAATAATGCTTCAGTATAAGTGATTAATTATGTCACATTTCTCAGTGATTAGTGCTTCAATATTAGTAATTAATTATGTCACATTTTCTCAGTGATTAATGCTTCAGTGTAAGTGATTGTCACAATTCTCAGTGATTAATGTTTCAGTATTAGTGATTAATTATGTCACAATTCTCAGTGATTAATGCTTCAATATAAGTGAATTATTGTGTCACAATCCTCAGTGATTAATGCTTCAGTATAATGGATTAATTATGTCACATTTCACAGTGATTAATGATTCAATAAAAGAGATTGTGTCATATTTCTCAGTGATTAATGCTGCAATATAAGTGATTAATTATGTCACATTTCTCAGTGATTAATGCTGCAATATAAGTGATTGTGTCACATTTCTCAGTAATAAATACTTTAATATTACTGATTAATTATGTCAGATTTCTTAATGATTTATAGGCAGTTAAGTACGCCATATTTTGGTGATTAATTCTTAATAAAAGTTACTTGTTTTGTCCCAATTTTAAGTGATTCATATGATATGAAGGTGGTTATTTATGTCACATTTCACAGTGATTTATAAGCAGTTAAATATGCCATATCTCTTTCAACTTAAGTCATTGGAATTGTCTTACAGGAAATATCAGAAGATTGCGTGTTACACAAAGTCTTACCTAACCTATATGTGAAGTTTCTCATTTTTATATGCCAACCTTTTCTAACTTTAGAGGAAACATGTTGAGCGGTGGGGGGGGGGGGGGGATTTCTGTGACATCATAAAGAATGAATCTGTCTTAAATGCAGATCTCTAAAGACACTGTTATATAGCATCCATATTGATCCATGTGTAGATAACGATGCAAGTTACGAGAAATGCTTTTAATCCAGAGACATTAACCTAAAATGAAGCTCTTTGATCTGACATATTAAGTATTCATGGGCCATTTAAGGCAGACATACACTTTCTCTAAATTACTTAACGTAAAATGCTTGCAAGTAAAAGTGGCATTAGTGGTTACTCCGGCTGTATTTGCGAAATTTGTGTGCATTTAACTTGTCCTGCTTTGAAATGTCTGTGTTTGAGGGATTTTTGTATATATATTGCAATAACAATATTTGACTGACAACAGGTTTTACGAGTCTGGCCAGACTGCACAGGTGTTTGTGTGAGTGTGAGTGTGATGGTGTGCGTGTGCTAGAGTGTCCTCATTCTGTTGACACACAGGTCTTGTCTTTTTTTTAATATATAAAAGCCAGATTTCTTAATTACCAAAACATTTTTTTTTACTTATCAGAAGTTAAGTTTACTATAATTTAAAAGCTTTGGTATAAGTATCTAAGTGGGGGTAAGTTTTTGATGATTATAACATTATAAAGTATTTCTCTTGTTCTTATAGCCTACAACTTTGTCTTTCTATTATTCTTTATAAAAGCCGAACCTGTGAAAGGTATATTCAATGTGAACATGTTTAGCTAGACCTTTTACATATGCAATGTTGTGATGTGTTTACTTTATTTTTGTGTTAACATTTCTTAGTGAACTATATTTTATACATATATATTTTTTGTACCCCAATTTGACCATTTTAAATCCTTTTCACCATTTTTTTGCTGGTCAAGAAATTTACCTGAAATTCTTTGTTATACATTTTTTTCGTATCCCACTTTGAACATTTTTAATTTTCTTCACCATTTTGTTTTTCCGTGGGTCAAGAATTTTACATGAAATGAGAGGAAAATGTGTATCCCAAGTTCATCCTTTTTTTCTTCCTTTAAATGCCCATGTTTCAAGTAAACTGTTACCCTTTCCGTTGTTCTTTAATGTCTTCTTATTTGCCCTTTACTTAAGCAAACATTGTTTTCCTCAGTTCTTTTTGCATGAGCTTTTTTTCATCGTTATAACTATAAAATAATGAACTTTGCCCCTCAGTCCTTGTTAAAAAAAAATCTTTCCTTTGATATCTTTGTTGTAATGGCTCTTCGTTAGATGAGCTTTTTCATCTTCCTTTATTACCTGAGCACATTCTGCCTTTAATGAACTCTTCCAAAATGCTCTTTTCCTATGCATTTGTTTGATAAGTTTTTTTGCCCTGTCTTTGTTTCATGGGCCCTGTTTGCCTATGTTAAATTTGTCCTTTCCAAAATACTCTTTTCCTATGCCTTTATTAAATGAGCTTATTCCCTGTCTTTGTAACTTGAGATCTTTCCAAAAAGCCCTTCTTCTCTGTCATTGTTAAAATGAGCTTTTTCTCATAAGCCCTTTCAGCCTTTGTTGAATGAACTCTTTCCAGATGCTCTTTTCTTCAGTCCTCTACCTTTATTAAATTATTTTTTCCATGTCTTTATAACATTAGCTCTTTTTACCTTTGATGAATAAGCTCTTTCCAAATAGCTTGTTTTCTTGGCCTTTATTAAGTGAGCTTTATGCCTTTGTTAAATGAACTCAAGTGTGGCAACATGACAACCAAATGTGTTCTTAAGCTAAGCTCACTTCTTAAAGTGGTTAAAGTCACCAACTTCAAATCACTTGCCCCTCACTGACTGCTATGGGCTTGAATACTGTCAGAGACATCAGGAAGTTCCCTCAAGTTCTATCTTTTAAGTCTTTTTACTCCATTAATGTTGTTAATATATCTTAATAGGTCTAAATTGTTTTTGTGTTTCCAAAACAAAACTGTGCATTCATTCATTCATTTCATTGAGGCACGCTCTTTTAAGATACTTGTGTACATCATGTTGTTTTTTTTTTACTTTTTTTTTTTACGTCAATTCAACATGTGTCAATTCACTTCTTACCATATTTGCATGCAATTGTTTTACTTTTCTGTTTTTCATACCAAGTTCATCATATATATATATTGTATTTGAGTACATTTTAACTTTCAACTGTATTTTTGTGTGTAAACAATTCATGTATACCATTTGAACAGTCCTAAAATAATCCAAGAAAAGAAGATTTTATTATCTGTAAGACAGATGATATCTGTCATATTGTTATATTGTTTATTTCCTGCAAAGATAATGTACAGGAAACAATTTTGCTGAAAAAAATTCAATAATAAAAAATGCAGATTTAGATTTTTGATAGAAATATATAGAAAATAGTGATATATAACATGGAAATCAGAGTCCTTAAGAAATAATTTTATATGAATTCTAATTTATATCTTTTTCTGACTGGTTCTAATTCTACACTTAGTGTAAATATATTTTGTTACTAAGCAACAACATACAAAAATGTAAAAATTTATTCTTGTTTATTCCATATACACATCTGTTTTATTCTTCAAAATATAACAATATGAACCTTATACCTGCTGAATTTGTGAAATGGTTTTGCCCTACTTTGAATGTGGAACAGTCCATTTTAAGTTTTAAGGGATTTTGATATCAAAATATGAAAATTGAGTTATAGATGTGCAGATGGACCTTGCTCCATATTGGTGGCAGAAGCTCAAAATCTCTGAATTCAACCAAGTTAATTAATATCCATTTGCTTATGTACATTTTGGAGACTTTCTAATTTCGCATAAATAAAATATGATCAAAATATGCATTTGCTTACATAATAAATATCATATAAATGATTTAAATTTACATTTTGCTTGTATTTCTAGGCTACCTTGTGTTCTACACTACTGATCATACAAAAGATGACCTTGACTGGGTCGTAGAAGGTGTCCTGGGAGAAAAACTGTCCATGACTATCACTGACCTTACTGCTGACACAACTTATTATTTCAAAGTTCAGGCGAGAAATAGTAAAGGTTACGGTCCCATGTCGCCCACGAAAATATACAAAACTCCGAAAAGTGAGTATTTATCTTCTTTTTTAAAATATGTCAATTTTTGAAAAGAACATTTAATTTAGTTCTCTTTTTTTCTTGACCAATATTACTGTGTAGGTAATTAATCCGTACATTAACACGTAACCTACTGTATATTTCTGTAACAGATTTGCCCAGCTTTTATTTGAGAACAGTCCATTCAATGTTAAGAGATTTTTCTGTACGAAATCTGCTGTGGTCATAGTATTATTTTTACAATAGTTTCGTCTTACAATTGGTCTGAAGATTTATGTGTTGATCATGGTCATGTAAATACATCATTAAATAAAGAGAGAGACGCTTGTTTTTGGTTGAGTCCATTATGTTTTATTTAGGGGTGAAATGTAAAACCTTTATTTACAATTTATATAACATTTAATGTTTTCGGTAATTTTAAGATTTGTGTTAATTCTGGAATTGTTTCAACATATTTTTTTCGGGGATTAAATTGTGATTTAAACAATTAAAGTCAGAACTGCAATGGAAATAACTTAGTCCACACCTATGTTGATTTGATCACGTGACAATGTAAGCCAATGAAAAAACATCAACAAACAGGCAGCCATTAAGGAAGAGAGAGGGTTTATTTCAGAGCGATAATTTAAATGTACTAGCAAGTTTAAACTGTAAGTATTGATTTTTTATGCTTTATTTATATTGTAGATTAGTGTTTATTTAATGATCTGCTTGATTTCCCATTGTCAGTTCGTGTTAGCTATGATTTAGAATGTCTAGGTGACCTAATTACAAGCTGGCTTGGAGAACAAAGGACTTTTTGGCGGGAAGAAATGGTTGGTTTGTTATTGTTTGTTGTTTATTATGTAAAAAAAAACATAGTAGATTCTCTTTAATACTATGCCTGTATCAATTGTTTATATAGAGTCTATAACAACAATCTTTTTTCATTCTTTATTCATCACTCAATATAAAACCTAAAAACTGTCCTCATAAATCCTGTCGTTGAAGTTATTGGATTGTGGGTGCATAATCTCAGTAGTTGGGAAGTAGTCATTACATCAACCAGGCGTCAAATGAAGCTTTAATGTTTTTTTTTTTAAATATTTTTTTTTCTCAAAACTTATTGAATTAATCCAATAACGAACAAATCATTATCAAAATAGGTATAATAAATAGACATACTGGTTGGAGAGATAACTTCGACGCATAGATAACCCCGACACTTGATAAATATAATTTTTATAACTTTGTTTTTCAACAAAAAAGCATATGGTCACCTAGTAGTATAGGAGCAGGACAGAATGCAATGATTTTTTGTAAGTTGGTAAACTTTTTAATATTTTTCAATTAACCGAAACTTTTCGTTGGCAAAAACTGCTTCAAAACCTTCTTTTTACTAAATTACAAAGAGGTAGTTAGAAATGTATTGACCACAGGCCACTGACTTGGGAAATATTTTTGAAAACTTGTTTTTACATCAACAAAAAATAGATAACACATATAAGATGTAAAAATAAATTAATGATGCTGATTTTCCTGTCATTTTTTACTTAAAAATTTAAGTGTTGACTTTATCTACTGTTGAGGGGTAAAAGACCATGTTTTGTATACGCCATTCAGGACCTTAAAGAAGTACCAATTCTCATTTTCATACATAATTTTTGTAGTGTAATGTAAAGTCTTTGAACTGAACTTTATTTAGGTGGTTCAATATTTAAAATATATAGGAAGATAATTAAGATATTACAAAAAGTATGTGATTTAGTGTCGGAGTTATCTCTCCAACCAGTATGCTTTTCTCTCGTCGATTCGTGACTCTTATTTGGAAAAATTGCACTTGCACAACAAATATCAGACATACATACAGTTCAATTAGTGCATTTGCTAAATAAATTCATTATCTAAAAGTTCACAAACTTTAAAATACTTCTAAAAACAACCGCTCAAAGATTAGAGCAACTGAACATGTCAACCATGACTGTCTTGCTCAGCTGGACGCTTACCCATCGATTCGTGAAATCCGATTCACCTAGCTAAAGATACTTCAGCGAACAGGTTTTATAGTATTGCTAGACCTGTTCGCTGAAGCCAACTCCGTATCGAAAGTCAACCAGAACCGTGACATTTTTATGTCATGCTGTAATTCAATAAATTTGCGTGATCTGGACAAAAGCTATTTTAATACAGGTAGTTAGATATATTTGGGACCCTTCAGTCTATATTTTTTACCACAGAAAGTTAGATTGATGAAATATTGCCTCAAAGTTTATCAGCGTGTTCACATTTCATAAAATTCGCCGCCATTGCTGCCCTAATTATCACGTGACCAGCGAGAATTTAGGTTCGGATACCTTTGCATGACATTTGGTGACACGTGACCCAAATGCTATTTTTAACTGAAAACATGGCTTTGCAATTATGAATAACGGTGTATTTATTCAATAATAGACATTGTACCAAAAACATGTTGGATTTATATTGTTTTTAAGTGATGATTTATGAATTATTTGTTTGTTTTTATATAAAAATCATACACTTACTAAAAATAATGTACGGTCCGTTACTAAAAAATAGATGCTAGAATTTCCAAAACATGAAGTCCCGCGAGATCTCATTTGAAAGCAGACTCCCATATTGGTAAAAACATTCTCTACATATTTCTCTAAAAATAGTTGGGTTACACAAAGTCATTGAAGTTTCATTTTAAAAACAAAAACATGAATTGGTTCTCAAAAATTGATTTTGTTTATCAATTGGTATTTTTATTTGACCCCAAATTTGATAAATAAGGGTGGATTTAAAGAAGTTTTTATGTACCGCGCACGAACTGTCAAATTCTGGTAGCCTTTGCAAATAGGGTTGACCCATAACTTTACTGTCGCAACGTCAAAATAAAAGCGACATATAAAGTTATGGAAGCCAGAACTACGATTCACCCTGTGACGTCACATACTTCTTCAATGTATTCTATTCATTAATGAAATTTTGTGTCATAATTTGATTACAACAAACATATTGATGATAAAACCACTTTATATACATGAACCATGCCTACTATGCCTTTAATTATAAAATAAGATTGACGAAACCTCTTTCGCACCTTTTCATAATGGTAGTCCGCCGAAACAGTAGTTTGACGAAACCACCAAAATTCATATAAATCCATGGTAGCACTTTCTCTCAGGCCTAATTTTTGTTGGAACGGTGGTTTTTTGTCGATTTAGTAATTTTCTCTACTCTAAGTACTGGCATGTGTGGCGGACATGGTAAGGTGCCTAAATGTTGACATGGTCATTATAAATATTCAAGGTTTATTCGCCTGTGATTTTCATGGCCTTTGTGGGTTTTTTTTGCCGCAAAGGATCAACTTGGACTTATACTGACTCGGACCAGTCAACTCGGCCTTCTATTAGAAACCTATTTCGGTATGGATTGTTAACATTGTTATGAAAAAAATTTAGGAGTGTATTACTATAGAAGTATTCAAAGGTATAATCGCATGGCCAACAGAAATTGAAAAAGTTGGCAGTGAACACGTACGTGTTGTTTGAAATAATCTTTGTTAGGAAGAGATGTCGCGACAATAAATGTTGAATATTGGTCTTTAACTAGAATTTTTATGACAATAATGGTACTTGTTTTTTGCACTGTTCCTTGAAATTATCTTTGTTAAGAAGAGATGTTCAAGTTGAGACAATAGATGTTGAATAGTTATCTTTAAATTGAATCTTTATGGAAATAAATGTAATTGTTGTTTACACTGTTTGTTCCTTGGCGGCCAATGCAGTTTGAACAGTACGTTCTGCAAAGAGCAGATGAAGTGGGCTAAGGAAATTGGCATTCTATAAGGAAATAATTCTGAATTTACGACAAATGTACCCCTGTATGCTATAAATATATGCAAGGAATGCATTGCTTTCTTCACAGTTAATACACATTTGATCTAATTATGCACATGGGAAATCAATGTCAACAAACTTGTTTTGATGCACAGTACAAATTTATTTCTTTTACAATTCAGGGGGGTTTTTTTACGGAAAGGGGTAGATGCTGGGTGCTGGTAGGGAGGGGAAAGATATGTGAAAAATGTCGATTTGGGGAAAATTATGAGGTCAATAATTCTATAATATATCTTTTTTCCCCTGAAAAACTTTATCATCATGCAAAAAAAACTTTGTGGTGTAACATCTTATTATGTATGGTGGTGAATGGTTTTTATACTTCCATTATTGTATGAAATTTAATGCGGCATACTATAGGTGTAATAGTGTATCTGTGACACACTTCAACTCCATACAAGTCATTTTCAATGCAAAATATATTACTTTCATAAAAATAACCAAGAAAATGGCAATATTTTGTTAGCAACTGATTTGCAGAAATAGTACCGTTCAGTACAGGATATAGCTAAGAAAAAAATGGCAACCTCCATGTTGAGATTTTGCTTGCAGTTTCCGGCATTTTTTTTGGTTATTTTTGGCTGCAATTGGTGGGTTATCCTTGATAAAACTCAGAAAGTTAATATTTTAAACCATAATAATATTTTATTTGATTTAGTTCAATAGGAAAAATTAATGTTTCAGGAAATATCACTCATGTGGTTATATATACTTGGTTTTTATTGCATACAGTATCGCTTAACAATGGTATTTCTGTTTATGTCCACCTTAAAATTTGATGATTCTTTTGAGGGAATTTTCAGTGTTGTACTAGGGATTTATCGGTCATGGATTGGGAATTACTTGTCCATTTTCTATTGGGAGCGTTGCCTTTTTACCAGTATCAGTTGTATAGGGGAAAACCACTGCAACAGAATTGTGCACACTATGAAATGTCATGACAAATTCCTAATGAGAAGCCCAAATTACTTCCCTTTTATGCTAGAGTTGCATTTCCTTATTAGTTTTTGGGTATATTTTTTTGTTCCTATTTAATGAAAAGAACAAAACTATTTGTTAAACATTTGACATTTTGGTTAAGAATTTATTTAAGAACTAATGCTAGAGGGAACAGAATTTTTTGGGAAAAATAAATAATTATCTTCAGTCGGTAGCAGTATAGTCAGTGACATCGGCGCATGGAGTGCATGTGACTTTTTGTAGGGGAAAAGATAGGGCAATAAATTAGAAAAGGGGGGAACCTGAAATCAGATTTAAACATGTGAAAATGGTATTTACCTTCATATTTGTGGAAGAAGAAATTATTTCAATTTGATTTGCCATGCATACTATTGTGTGGAAATGCTTTTTCCTTGATTAAAGGAAAATGTTACAAAAGTTGGGTTGAAAATAGACACATGTTATTTTATATAAAGGTGACACATGTTTTGTTTAGCACTATTTAGGACGTTTGAGTGGTTAAGATTTAATAGATTGTTTTATCCTTTTTTAGGCATGATGTGCTTGTGAAGTTTAAAAGTTAAGTGTAGATGTGTTTATGGAGTTAAAGCATTGGTATTGGCACAACTATGGCGTTGGGAGGCACAGATATAGCGAAGTGTTCAGGTAAGTAATTTGTTTTCTTTGTGGAAATCATGGGTTTGGTTGGAGCTGCTATCAACATTTGTAGTGCTTGTGCATGTGTGTGCTTTTGTTGTTGATGAATACTTTTTCTTATTAAAAAAAAAGAAATTATGCATTTGCCTTAATATTTGGCAAGAAATTGTTACTGAATTTTTTATGTGCATTTGTTTTTCTAAAAAAATTTAAAGTTGAAGAAAGAAAATTTGGTGTGCATAAAAAACATCCAACGGTCTGTTAAAGATATAGTTGATGGTTGCTCGAAACAATAAATGTAAAATCTTAAGTTTCAATTTTTTACAAATTTTGGGCAGCAAAGTTTATTGTAAATAAGCATGTCTGGAAACACAAAAGCCTTAAAGCAAGGTATATGCTTATCTTTTTAGGTTAAAAAGTAATTGCATCAAAAACTGGTAGTAGGCATGTGTAGTGTTGTGTTCCTGTGACAGTCCCTTTATTTATCATTGTTTGCCTTCATTATTGTTCTTTTCCCCCTTTTTAGGTTTGGCTTTGTGGAGTTGAAGAGTCGATATTGGCAAATTTGGAACATTGGTAGATTGGGATATAGAAAAGTGTGCGTGTTATTGGCAAATGTAGAACATAGGAAGATAAGGTTATAGTGCATTGTGCAGGTATGTTGATTTCCCCCTTTCTAGCCCTTGACTAACATAATTGGTAGGTTTTTATTATAGAAACTTGCCATAAATGGGTACATGGAAGTGTTCAATTATGGAAAACTGAAAAATAATGAAGACTTTGTGATAAATAGTTTTCAAGATAATGAGATATTAGAGAACTAGTGACCCAAAATCAGTAGGGGTTCTCTAATAGGTATCACCAATCAGTATTTGAAATATGAAGACTTTGTGATAAATAGTTTTCGAAATTAATAATAGGGGTCATCTACTGCTTATGAACATTCATTAATAAATAAATAAACATGGAATTTCAAAATGCTGGACAATATATGGTTTGATAATCTGGTAACAATTAATTAATTGATAACTGAATTCTAATTTAATAAGACCTACATTTTGTATCTTCTATTAACCTTTAAAAGAACGAAAACAAAGCGCAAGGCATAATTTTCTGATTCAAAAACCAGACCATGAAAGAATTTTTTGAGTAGGGGTAAATTTTGTGAGTCGGTCGCGTTACTGCAAACAAACATTTTTTTAAAGGATGTCCTAACTATGTGAATTTGAAGCATTTTTCATAGGCACAGCAGTTTGAACTTGTTACAGGGACTTTTCAATGAAAACGGCAAATTTTTGCAATATGCTAATGGGGTAAAAGGTTATGATAACCTACACTAACATAATATTCTATAAATCACATATCCTGCATTCAGACTGTTCAAGCAGAAAAGAATAATTTTTCATTGACACATCTATAGTGTTACACTGTGTATTTGCACTATGTTTGTATAAACATATGATGCCACGTCAAAATATCAAAATGTTTGTTGACACTTAGAACCACATTCATGAATTTTATAAGCCTGAATTTTAGCTAATATTTTAATAAAAAAAGTCATAGACCTATGACAAGCTTTCTAGAAAGGACATACAGTTCAACTTCGTTCGCTCGAGCTTGGATGGCTCGAAAACCTCCCTCCGCTCAAACTCATCGCCAAGTCCCGGCAAATTCCTATATAATATATATTGTTCTTCCTCGGATCGGTCGAACACCCATGGCTCGAACCTGATCTCTGGTCCCTTCAGAAGAAATATAGTGTAAGTCACACCTTTTTGGTCGAACACAAACAGGCAACAAAAGTTGCATGTCGACAGGTTCTAAATAATTGACAGGCGCGACACATGTTTTTAACACCATGTGATGGTGACAAGGGCAATTAAGGTTAACTGATACAAATTAAAAGGTGTTGATACCGATTTGTTTGTTATGATAAAATTGTATATTTGCCGTCTTTAGTAATAATAAAAAGAAAATAACCCCTGAAATGCCAAAAGTCAATAAATGAATGACGTTTACCTGGATGGCTTTAATTACAACCGTGGTTCATGCAATGTGAATTGTAACAGTGTAATCTATTTATATATGATACTTGTACGTGTGTTTATTTTAGTAAATGACTACAAAAATATGCTGCTGTAAGATGTTCTTTTGTTAATATTTAATTAATGCATTGTTTAAAATAAAATTCATCCCATAATAAACATATAAATATATTTTGAACATTGTTCACAGTTTGGATAATGATTGCCCAATCGAACCCAACCAATTACAATATGCATGAATATAGATTAACACAGTGACCGTTAAATATGTTTTCAATAGGATAATAATTCTAACTAGGACAATTCAACAAATGAATGTACTGTAAACAATTTTATTGACGTATTTATCATTTGACCGATGTAGGTTTGAAAACCTAGAGGCCTTTGTTCTATGTAATAATAGTTCGACCTCGGTTGGCTCGAACTACCGATCTCTTGAACAAATTTGCACATGCCCTCGGACTTTGAGCGAACGAAGTTCGACTGTATATTAAAGGAATTACATTGGCAGCAAAACTTTGGGACTTTAGCAAAATCTGTTATATAAATTGTAAAAGCTGTATATCAGTAATACATAATTTATAAATTTACTACTGTACATTTCAGGCACACCACCATGTACTCTTGATGTAGAGTACTCCTACCCTTTGGATTATGCCCAGCAAGTGCACTATCCCAATTCCCTATTCTCAATATGTTGGTTCAATATGTATTAGGACACCAAGAAAGTTCCATGAGATTTGTGTTTGTGCAGAGGGATCAGGTTAGTTTGCCATAATATTTTTTGACATATTTTATCATGAGCATGTTGTAAAAAATATTTAAGAATATTATAAATATAAAGGTATTTTTTTGTAATTTTCTGATATCAAATGTGTTCCTTTGCCATACATTTTTAGCTCACCTGTCACAAAATGACAGGTTGATTTTTTGTGATCGCTTTTCGTCCAGCGTCCGGCCGTCCGTCTGTGAACTTTTACTTTAAATGACATCTCCTCATAAACCATTAAGCCAATTTCATCCAAACTTCTCAGGAATGTTCCTTTGGTGGTCACCTTTAAAAATTGTTCAAAGAATTTAATTCCATGCAGAACTCTGGTTGCCATGGCAACCGAAAGAAGAAACTTTAATTATCTTCTTTTACAAAAACCCAAAGAGCTAGAGCTTAGATATTTGGCATGAAACATCTTCTAGTGAGTGTCTACCAAGTTTGTTCAAAAACAAATGCCCTGGAGTCAACATTGGCCCTGCCCCAGGGGGTCATTGATTTTCCAAATATGCATATAGTAAAAACTTAAAAAAATCTTCTTTTAAAGAACCAAAAGAGCTAGAGCTAAGATATGTAGCATGAAACATCTAAAGAGTGTCTACCAAGTTTGTTCAAATAAAAGCCCTGGGGGTCAAAATTGGTCCCGTCCCAGGGGTCATTGATTTTCCCTATATGTATATAGTAAAAACTTAAAAAATCTTCTTTTAAATAACTCAAAGAGCTAGAGCTGAGATATTTAGCATGAAACATGTTCCAATGGGTGTCTACCAAGTTTGTTAAAATAAAAGCCCTGGATTCAAAATTGGCCCCGCCCCAGGGGGTCATTTATTTTCCCCATATGTATATAGTAAAAACTAAAAAAATCTTCTTTTAAAGAACTCAAAGACCTAGAGCTAATATATTTAGCACGAAACATCTTCTAGTGAGTGTCTACAAAGTTTGTTCGAATAAAAGCCCTTTGTTAAAATTGGCCCTGCCGGGGGTAGGGGACGGCAGATCATTGTTTTTCATTATAAGTGTGTATATCATGAATCATCTTCTTATAGGTGTCTTCCAAGTTTGTTCAAATAAAAGCCCTGGGGTTCAAACTGGCCCAGCTCCGAGGGCCTACATACAGGTGAGCGACCTTAGGGCCATCATGGCCCTCTTGTATAAATATTCTTTTATGCCATGGTATTTTTCAGTTGTGAAAAGAATATTCAGTTAAAAATAATCTTAATTATGCCCCCTACGAAGAAAAGGGGGTATATTGTTTTGCAAATGTTGATCTGTCCGTCAGTAGACCACATGGTTTCCGCTGATTATCTTGAAAACTATTTATCACAAACTCTTTAATTTTTCACATAGTGATTGGCCATAACTAGTAGATGGTTGGCCATAACTAGTAGATGGTCCCTATTGATTTTTGGGTCACTATGTTAAAGGTCAGGGTCACAGAGGCTTCAAATGTCAAGATGGTTTCCGCTGATTATCTTGAAAAGTATTAAGCACAAAGAAGTCATATTTCACATATTGATTGGTCATAGCTAGTAGATGGCCCCTATTGATTTTTGGGTCACTATGTTAAAGGTCAAGCTCACAGGGGTCTTAAATGTCAGAACGGTTTTAGCTGATTATCTTGAAAAGTATTCAACACAAAGTTGTCATATTTCACATATTGATTAATCATAATTAGTGGATGAACCAAAGTAATTTTTGGGTCAAAGGTCAAGGTCACAGGGTCATCATATTTCTGATTTTGATTGGTGGCCTCTATTGATTTTTGGTCTGTAGTTTTCTAATATCTGATTATCATTTGAACACTATTTATCACAAAGTCTCCATTATTTTTCTTTTTTCCATAATTGAACACTTCCATGTACCCATTTATGGCAAGTTTCTGTAACAAAACTACCAATTATGTGTGTCAAGGGCTAGAAAAGGGGGCATATGTGTCGTTCGACATTCTTGTTTTAAGTTTCATTTTAAGTGCTATTTATATCCTATACAATTTTTTTAAACTTCTAATTTATATGTATTTTAGGACTTAATGGAAGTGTCAGTCTCAACATGCTCTGGAAAGGGGAGAAACAATGCAACAGGTTGCCAGTATTGTCCTGCAGACATCAAGACATGGTCACAATATCCCACTGCTTATAGATGATCTAAAAAGCCATTGAAAGTCATTTTAATAGTAAATCCCCTGAGGCCTGCTGCTATAAGGACTAATGCTATATTGACTAGTGTGTGGATCATATTAATTAATGGTTGCCTATGTCAGCTTACCAGTAACTTACTTCCATAATGTTAAAACATTTCATGTGATTGTGTTTTGTGTAGTACAACATTTGTCATGTCACTTTAAGTATAGAATTGCATTGAACATATGCATTTCATGAATTGATCAACTGTAATCCTGTCTTTATAAGTTTTTAAAGTCTTGATTTCAAGATAAATAAACAGTTTTAGTTGTTTGTGTGACTATATCTCATTGAAAATGACTGCATAAAATGTGAAGTGATAAGCTTCAGTACTTGCTGTCAAGTTTTAAATATTTTATACTTTTAGGATATGAAAACTATTTTATCTATGACAATGATAGATGAGTGAATTTTTTATGTTGATATTAGTGTAGAATGACTTGGTAAAATTTGCATTAATCCTGAACAGAAGCATCAAAATCAAAGAAATTTGCATGGTAGCTAGGCAACTAAAATTTCCTTCAGTTAAAAAGGATTTTTAACAGGAAGAACATATTAATATTAAAAAGACTCTGTATGTTTGATATCATTGTAACTCTTTCAGAACTTAATCTCCTGCATGCCTGAAAATTTGGAAATTTAGAAATTTATAACAAAATAATATATGATAACTCGAAGTGCAGTGCAGTGCAAAAGAATTAGTACTCTGAACTTCTTATTTTTTGAGTAATTGCCGTTTGTTAATTTTCATACTTCAAATTTTGTCTGGGCCATTTCTCTTCAACTATAAAACCTATGGACTTAAACTTCATAGAATGATAGATCTCATTTAGAAAAAGTGCATTGCACAAGGACTGGTACTTTGAACTTCCTAATTTTTGAGTTATGGTCCTTTGTTAATTTTCATATTTTACTTTTGTCCAGGTCATTACTCCTAAAGTACAAAAGCTATGGACATGAAACTTCATAGGATGATAGATCTTATTGATAAGAAGTATAGTGCAAAGAAAATGCTGCTCTGCACTTCTTATTTTTTGAGTTATTGCCCTTTGTTAATTTTCTTGTTCTGGCCATTTCTCCTTAACTACATTGTTCACAAGGCGACATATCCGACTCGTGAAGTTCTGGTTCATTCAAATAGCCAGTTGTGCACTTAAAATTTGTTAAATTTAAAACAAAATTATGGAATATATTGTGGCTGCTTGGCAACACTGATTGATTTTAGCTTGACTGTTCGATTAAAATAAGTAGAGCTTTTGTAGTCACCCAAACGTCAGTGTATACGTAACAACTTGTGTCGAAGTTTTTATGATATACCTCAAATATTTTCAAAGTCCATTGCCATATGGCTTTGAAAATTTGCACAATTGTTCGCCATCATGATTCCAACCTGTAGACAGGAGGAGGTGACTGTATCAAGCATTTTAGGATAATTTTTTTACTTAGTATTTACGTTATAAAGTTTTTGTAATACCTCAAATATTTTCAAAGTCCATTCACATATGGCTTTGAAACTTTGTGCACTTATTCACCAGCATGACCCTTACCTGTAGACAGGAGCAGGTAACTGTACTAAGCATTTTGACAGAATTATGCCCCTTTTTTCGACTTAGAATTTACATTTAACTTTGCATATTACCTCAGATATTTTCAAATTCTATTGACATCTAGCTTTGAAACAAGTTGAAATTTTATACTCTTCTTTGAGAGCATAATAGGACTCTCTTCAAGGCGTACTGTAACATGGTTTTAAAGGAAAATTATTCCCTTGTTAACTAAGAAAATTTTACATTATCGAGGCCTTTTTACTGTCAAGCACTAATAATAGTCCAGCATTGCTTCCCTACCTACAGCTCTTGTTTCTAATTGTTTAGGTATTAAGTAAACCAGTTATACAGCAGATAGATATATATATATATTATATTATATGGAAATTAACACTTGATCAAACAATAACATACAGGCAAAAATACTGAGTTTCTGCTAAAATTAACATGGTTTTCTATCACTAGTCAAGTGTACAGAACCTGTATGTAATATCTTAAATGAAAGATTTTTTAAAAGTAAATAATAGACATTGTAATTTTATTGAAAATTAATTTATCTCTGCTGCTTTGTTAGCTGTATTTTGCAAAGTAATATGTGAAAACTTTAAAATAAATTTTTAAAAAATATTCAACGGTTGCTAGCTGCCTTTATGTTGTATTTGTGTAATGATATCCTTTATTTGGTACAACTACCTTTTATGTTGTTACACTTTAGTCATATTTAATTTACTGTTGTATTAAACTGTTATCTGTTGTCACAGTAAGTGTTTGTCAGAATAAGATTAAATAATAAATGAATAATAAATGGACACTGTGTTTAGTTCTTCTAGGTGTTTGGACTTTACATCTCCTGGATGTTTCACCCCTGTACGTTTCACCCTCAAAACCCTGGTCTTTCATCTCCACTTTTTATAATATTATGGTATCTCTAAACAGTATTATAACCTGTTAGCACTATAGAAATGCAATAGAACCATTTGGTATTGATTGTTGCAAGTGTTATAAAATACACATTACACACACAAAAAAACAGGAATAGGTCCGTTGCTATATCTCATGACATGTTCATTTTACATTACACCTTTCATGCAGCAAACTTTAAGTCTTCACAAAAGTAGTATGCAATCGTACCTATATTACATACGAATGTATGTAATATTTTTCTTGTTTATATCATTATTCAATATTGTATAGAGCATGGACAGTCAGGCTGACTTGGCTTAAAGTGACATTATGCTCATCCACAGGTAAATGGTCGGTGAATAGGTAAAAATCAAAATAACTTGTCATTTTGTCTTAATTGGTTCAATTTTACATTTTAATAAGAAAAAAAAATTAAAAATGGCCAATGGAAATGTCTATAAATATCCTTTAAAATGTATTGACAATGTGCAATTCTAAAAAAGAGTGGGGCAGTCTTTTTATAATTTAGATCGTTTATGTATTGTATCATAAACATTTTTTTTAATCAGTTGTTGGGTCAATCATCGTTTTAAAAGTTGATCTTTTGAAATATATTACTTCTTCAACTCAGCTTGACAGTGAAAAAAAAATTAGCACAAGGTCACTTTAATACAAGTGGCAAATGGCATTGTGCTTAATCTCTTTTTGTTTCAAGCTGCATGTTAAATGTACATTCAGATTTTCCATCGTAAAGCTAGTTATTGCAGAGTAAAGTATGCATTAAAAGGGAAGTGAGATTTTACTTTTATTAAACAAGATTTATAATTTTGTCTGTTTGTTTATTTACATTTACAGTGGGTATACCATTATCACCAAGGCGGCCAATTAAACCTCCGAGGGAAAATCCCGTAAATACCGGTAAGCATTTTAGCTGTAAGTAGATCACCTTGTCAATGCTTTAAATCAGCATGCCTCTAGATACATGATTATCTTCATCTCAATATTTCATTGGTTTAAACATATTTATTTAAGCTAGATTGCAAAACAAGTTCTTGCAACTTATATTAATCACTTTCGAGTACGCTTCCTGGAACCAACCAGTACTGGTGTCATATGAAGAAATATGGTCGTGACCCAAGTAGGGCTGGAACCCATGATCTCTGGGTTGAGAGGCAGGCACTCTCACTACTAGGCCACCGCTCCCCTTTCATTATTTTTTTTGTAAGTTCATAATAAATGTTTGTATTTTGTTTTTTTAGTGGGCACTAAGGAAGAGAAGAAACAGGAGAAGACAGAGAAAGGCCTGTCACAGAATCTCATGATAATCATAATAGCTTGTGTTGTCGGGGCGACGTGTTGTATCGTGGTTGCTGTGGTAACGGTGTTTGTATGCAGGAAAAGAGATATTGCGGAAAGGAACAGAAGAATGTGAGTACATTATATGCTGAACGTTATAGCAGAAAGATTTTGCGGTGAAAATAAAATTTAATTGCAGAATTGCAAAATGCATTGCAGTAAAGGGTTAACTCCTATTAAATTAAATAGTAGTTAACCCATTACTCCGCTAAGATGACAAAAATAAGTTACAAATTTTGAAAATTTAATACTTAGATTAAAAAATTAGTTGAAGTTGGAACCTTCACATTGCCAAAAAACAGCAATAAAGAAATTTTTTAATGGATCCTGTTCTTTGGTATGAGCAATATGGTGAGGGGCAAATTTAACATATAAACATGAGATTGATGAAGTTAAAATAACAAAAATGTTTTAAAAAAATTTCAGGGCTAGTATGTATAAAGGATCGCCTCAGAAAGGCAAGAGTATTCCGCAAAAGGGCGGGCCAGGTAGAGGTGAAGGTCCGCCCCCTGACCTTTGGATAGATCACGATCATCTAGAGTTGAAACAGATGGGGCGTGACGAAAGGGCGGAGTCATCTATATCAGTAGCATCAACACGTAGAAACTCTCTGAGTAGCGTGCATACAAACAATCAAGGTATGAAAACTATTTTCTTTTTTCGTAAATAATCATGAAAATAAATGTTCAGTGACAATAACTAAGTATCATAGGAATTTAACAAAAGTGAAAGGAGAAACTTGCGAATATTTTACCTTTTGTTGCAAAGAATGTGAAAATATTATTGTTTATGTTATTTTTATCTGCTGACTTGGCACTGCATTGTTGTAACCACCAGGGAGTTGTTACTGCAGGGTTTGCCACTGGCGGGTTTATGTTTCATTATATTAACACAATTTTCATTTATTTCATGATTTTTATGTGCAATAAGTCGTATATAAAAGGAATTGTTATCGTGTATAGTTTATTTGTTTTAGATTGTGAAAAGTAATGAAAATTGTGTTGAAAATTGAATAAATAAAGTTTAAAGGAGGAATAAGAGATATTTTAATTCCAGTGTAGTAAAGATTGCTACACCTTCCTAATAAGTTTGAAATTTTGATTTTGCAAAATTTTGGCCTTGCAAAAATATTTGATTGATCAGTATTTGAATTAAATACCTGCCAGAAAAATGTATAGATGAAATAGTTAAATACACGTCATAAATATATACGTCATAAATTATTCATTGACAATATATTACAGCTGAGGTGTATCAGTCAGGCAGCGAGGCTGAAGAAAGACTGTTACCTCCAAGTTATCATCAACTCACAAACTCTCAACAACGAAATATCATTCGACCTAAACCATTAAAACTACCAGTAGATGCGCAAGCACATCAAAGAGAACGTAAGTTGTTGAACTTCACTCTTTATCCATTTATTTTGATGCCTTTATGAGAAATTTAGGGGTGTCTGTGGAGTAATGAGTAAGAAACACTTGCCCATCACAGCTGAGGGTGAGATTTCTATATATAGGACTTTGGCTTACGGAACGACAGTGTTTCTGCTATCGAGGAGCACCTGAGGTCTTCTCTCATATTTGAAGTGTCTGTGTGTCTTTCTCCAGAGTTTTAAAACCAAACTAAAGAGAGAGAAAAGCTCTCAACATAAAAAACAGTAGTGTAAAACAGTAGTGTGTTATCCTACTCACTTATCTGTTTGTCAACATCAGTGAAACATTGGGTTAAGGTTCATTTGAAAGAGGTAGTTTCTTATCTAGGCAGTAAATGTTTTATAATGTATAATTATGTGTTATATTCATAGCATTTTAAGTCATATTTATGCAATTGAAAGTTCTATTTTTAGATTTAAAAGTTCTATTTATAGAATTGTAAGTTCTATTTTTAGAATTTTAAGTTCTATTTATAGAATTATAGAATTGAAAGTTTTATTTATAGAAGTGTAAGTTCTATATATAGAATTGAAAGTTGTATGTATAGAATTGTAAGTTCTATCGATAGAACTTATATGTTCTATTCGTTGAATTATGTATATTTTACTGATAGAATTATGTGTATATTGCAAAGAAGTCGATGCTCTTTTTAAAGAAGAATATATCTTATTAATTTCACATAATTATATTTTCTAGCTATGGTAGCAGTAGCCGGGTATCCAAACGGGAACATTAAGTCACGGTCCCGCAAATGTAGGGAAACCGCCACTACCCTTGAGACTCGTTGTACCATTGCGGTCCAGTATAACCCCAGAACCCAATAAAGATCAGTAATGGCTTGCACAGGGCCACCACGGGTCAACGCAGGGGACATATCAAACACATGTAAGTAATTTAACGGTTGAATAGTCTAGAGTGAATGTATGTGATTAAGCATGTTTTGTTTGACACTACTTTATTTTCAATTTTGAATGCATTTCTTTCTTTATTCCACCTAATTATTTTTATTTTCTCAAATAAAATTTATATGTGTGTATACATTTATATTACTCTTTGCCTTGAAAGCCTCTCTTTAGCTTAAAAAATCTTTATCAATATGTATTTCAGTTTTTATGTTATTTTATGTCAAAGCAACCCCATTAATTTTCTTTCTCTGATTGTGTTTTATTTTCTGTTTTCTTTCACAGCGCATGGTTACCCTATAGAATATGGTTGTAAGTATAGTGACTTAGTTCTCTTATTTTACATTTCTATTTAAGCTGCTGGAATTAAATTTTAATAGTTGCCGGTTCATCCTTCCCCTCGTTATTTTGTCACACTTTCGTTTCTCAAAGCACCTTTATTTATTTGACTGAGTTTTGAAGTGTCCGTCTCCCTTTCGTTTTTGTCCCACTGTTTGTAAAGGCACTTTCATATATTGTCACCTTAATGCAGTAATGGGTTAACTCCTTATATAATTTAATAGTAGTTAACCTTTTATTGCACTAAGGTTACAATATTGATCTTGGATAATTGTGATGTTATGGATCTCTACCATAAGATGTTTTTAATTTCCACATGCCTCTACCTGATTGAGATGGGGTCTGTGTGGGCTAAGTGTTTAAGGTAGTATGAATACCTCTAGCTAGGGACCTGTGAGAAATCTTTTCACATAGTTTATGGAAACTCATTGCTTCTATACAACTGCCATTTTAATGCCTGAAATAATGTACGAAATGGCACTCGGGGTCAACCTCCACCTGTAAAGCTTGAAGTTGGCCATGATAGGTCAAGACCACTGAGGCTAAATATAGATTTTCCTTTTAATTATACTATGATTTTAGTTCTGTCATAGCGACATCGTGGAGCACATGTTGGCAATTCATATGTTCATTCTAATCTTTACTGTTTTTGCTTTTTTTTGCATGCTCTGTAATTGCATATTGGATAATACTGAAGTTTGTGTAACAGATGTTTCATCCAGTAAAAGTTTATTTTATAAATCCAGTTACTTTTATTCCTTTCTGAGTAAAATATTCATTTGGAAAGCATTTCATTGACCATGATTTCTCTAAGGCTCTTGGTCAAAAGGGATGCTTTAGAATTTATTTATAAAGAAAACTCTTGATGACATTTTTATCCAAAATTATAAGTAAAGCTTTTTGATAACCCAAGCTTTTTATTACACTTAGTCTAAAGGGATGCTATTTTATTCAAAATTATTAGGAAAGCTTTTTGATGACCCAAGATTTTTATTACACTTAGTCTAAAGGGATGCTATTTTATTAGCTCGACAATTCGATAAGAATAAGTAGAGCTATTGTAGTCACCCGAGCGTCGGCGTAACCACTTATGTTAAAGTTTTTGTAATAGTTCAAATATTTTCAAAGTCCATTGACATATGGCTTTGAAACTTTGCACACTTGTTCACCATCATTACCCCAACCTGTAAACAGGAGGAGGTAACTGTATCAAGCATTTTGACAGAATTATGCCCCTTTTTCGACTTAGAATTTACGTTAAAGTTTTTGTAATAGTTCAAATATTTTCAAAGTCCATTGACATATGGCTTTGAAACTTTGCACACTTGTTCACCATCATTACCCAAACCTGTAAACAGGAGGAGGTAACTGTATCAAGCATTTTGACAGAATTATGCCCCTTTTTTACTTAGAATTTACTTTAAAGTTTTTGTAATAGTTCAAATATTTTCAAAGTCCATTGACATATGGCTTTGAAACTGTGCACACTTGTTCACCATCATTACCCCAACCTGTAAACAGGAGGAGGTAATTGTATCAAGCATTTTTTTTTTACTATCAAGCACTTAGAATAGTCGAGCGTTGCTGTCCTACCGACAGCTCTTGTTCAAAATTATTAGGAAAGCTTTTAAGTGATCCAAGATTTTATTACTCTTGGTCATGAGAAGGGTTTTAAAGAGTTTTTAGGAAAGTTTTTGAATGACTAAGATTTTTGTTGCACATGGTCCCAGTGCCAGTTTGAAAAGTAGTTTAATCCATTAATATAAGGCAAAGAAAAGGGCTGACATGTCAAAACATTTTCATAACGTTTAGTGGATGGTTCATCAGTACTGTGTTTTACTTTGACTATAATATAGATTTATGTGTTGCATGGACATGTTTACAATTATATATATATACTTGATGTGATTTTTGTTTCCGTCATTGTCCTCTCAAGACATTATAATTATATACTGTGAATTCACCTAATTTTGTGGGCATAGAATTTCGTTGTTTGTATGAAAAGACATTTTTTTTTGGCACTTGAATTTTTTTATTGTCTCTTTTTGCAAAAAAAGGATAATGTTATGTAATGCATAATAATCTTACAGCAGGTAAAATGAAAATTTCTTCATGGATTGGGCTGTGTATGAAAAGCATGAAAATTAATGCCCCACAAATAATTGTGAATTTTGCAGTGTAGTATATTATCTATCTAATTTTTAATCATATACTTTTCTTTATCACATTTGCTTTGAGAAAATTCATTACATGCACATTTCATATCTCATTCTGCCATCATTTTCTGTTTTATATTAATCTTAAAAAGCAAATCTTGCTATTTATCTTTTCTTTTTTTTCATCTTTATTTTTTTTTTTTCATTTTGTAACAAGACTTGTGATTGGTCAGTTATTTTTTGTGGTTGCATGGTTCCCTAAGTTGTTTATGTTTACACACCATTGTTACAGATCGACTGGTTCCCTGCACGGAGGAAGACGAGCATTGTCATCCAGAAGTTTATGACGAGCAGTACATGAACAGAGTTGGCTATGGCATGTATTTTTTTTATTCTACATTTTTTACGTCCATCGTTTCATATTTGTTCACACCTCTTGTTGCTATGGCGCCCTCGTTTATTTTTCTGTACAACAAATCATGTTCAGTCTATCATGTCTTGTGTTCAGTTGGAAAGTAAACAGGAATTAGCCTATGGGGTATTTCAAATTAGAAACAAAATAAATCAGTATGGTGTGTGCTAGATTCATAATAACACTAAGCCATTACATCACAACTTAACTGGGTATAGATAAAGACATTCAGGCTACATTAATGAAAACTAAGGTTTCCTGTTTACTTTCAATAAATTTGAAAATCTGATTTTTTTAAGTTAATTATTTTATAAGTTTTTGATTATTATTTCTATGTTTTCATTTGTTTTAAATGTGACCATACCATTCACTATCATCAATCCATTCTCATTATAAAAGATCAAAGAAATGGAGACACAGTCTAGCCTATATTAAAGATATACTATGCTCAAATTTGATATTCGAAAATATTGATAATTGCTACAAAGACTCTTTGTAAACATAAAATAAAAAGGTTTTGACTTCATACAAAGTAGATATATTATGTTTAAAATTCTACAAACTATATATGGTCACAATATGAATATATAGTGTCATTAAAAAAACTGGCAGTTTTTTAAAGAAAATACCAAATTTACTTGACCCGTATCAGGGAATGCAGCTTCCCATACACATTTTATTCCTTCTTTTATTCAAGTAAGACATATTCAGTTAGAATTTCATAGATTTCAACACATTTCTGTGATTAAAGATTTTCACTAAAAGATGAGCATAGTATATCTATAAAATGACCATAATTTTTCATTTTTGAATTTTACATTTTTATTTTTTGTCTGATGATTAAACTCTTGTAGATAGACTAGGCTGTAAGCATGTGAAAAAAAAAGAGTTAAATTGCCATTAATACACAGTATGCCAATTAATACACAAAATAAGGCCTACCTATATGACTGTGTAAATGCACAGCTGCAGCTGTGGATAATACTTATAAATTTCCTCATCTACTTTTCCTGTATGATGAAATGACTGCTTATAGGACAAAATTCAATATAAAATATGAACCCCCGACTTATAAGTGATCAGACTTACATGTGGGTAAATACAGTTTTTTGGTGCACAGTTTTGAATAAAGAGCAGTAAGGCAGTTTGGTATTAATGGCAATTCACTTCTTATTTCCATGCACATTTGTCTCCCTTTCTTCTATTTTTAGAAGGCAAAAAAATCATCCGCATAGTGTGAAATTTCTGCTTTGCCTCTGACTGACGAGCATCATAGCTATGGAATGAAATACTTGCTTTACTTTTATATGGAATGGAGCTTTGAAAACTTATCTGTATTTTGCTATGTCTTGAAATTTTTGCACTTTGTCGTGATTTTGTGAATGACTAGCTTCTCTCACATGACTTTGTTTTTTTGTGAAGCTTCAAAAATTTACCAAAAGTCAAAGGGTGAAAACTCTTACCATACTAAATATCTTAAATAGACTTGCCTATCTTTCAATTTGGAAAATTAATTGGAGAGAGAAAAAAACATGACTGTTTTAGGGAAATTTTTTTCAAAATAGGTAATGATTGAATGGCAAACTGTGTAGACCATGGTCAATGGTCAAACTGTACTGTTGTGAATCTTCCAAAAATGTGTGTGTGGGGGGGGGGGGGAGCTTTAAAGGCTTAAAAATGATTTTTTTACTATTAAAGGATAATACCCATTTGAGAATCTATTTACGCTGGAAGACCAATAATACTTAAGTATGTTGCTAAAGATTAAAGATGTGATGACATTCTAGATGCGAAATACTTTCTTAACTAGTCATACTCATTCATTTTGTTGCTTATTGTGTTTACAGGTGGATTTAGTACCCCGTCACATCATGGCTCCCTGACCCGGCGCCATAAACCCCGCACCCCAATGACGGGCATAGCCACGCCCGTGAAACATATGTCCTCTACGGACGTATCATCATCTAGCCCCCATCATCATCATCATTCCGGTGCATTTGCCCGCACCGGCTCGCCTCTCCGCAGCTTTAGTGTACCGGAACCCCCCGGGTCAGGCAAAACTAGCACTCCCAAGCATATAGGTAAAAATGGCGTAGTTGGGTGGCAGGTTTCACACTTTATTTACCCCCCTTTATTTAGCACTGTAACCTAACCCTTTTTTTTAACGCTTTTTGGTGGTTAGATATTTATGTATACACTTATCATGATAAAAGGTGAAGGTAGCGCTAGAATTTAACATTCCCATAAAAACATGTACCATACCATATACCATACTATGATATACCATACCATTTACAAAACTATTATATTATACTTAACAATTTCTTTATCACTTAACATCAGACCATTTGCCCCTCACTGCTGTGGGTTCAAACAACGGTAGGGACTTTAGATTCATTCATGTGAGGAAGTTAACAAGCTTGCTTATGAAATGTTAGTGGTTCTACTCGGGTGCCTGTTCGTGCCTGTAATTTAATGAACACAAGGGAACTGGATGCCTTTCTCTACCAGTAAAGCTGGAAATTCGCTATTTGACATCTAAGTGTGTTGGTGTTAAGTAAAACTCAACCACAAAAAAAGAAAAATTCTCTAAGGTACATGATTGTTTACTATGGCACATTCAAATAAGTCCAAGTTTCCACACAAAAACATGACTTGTATAAAAGCAAGCATAAACAATCATATGACCAGTATAGAGCCAGGCCAGTCTGATTGTTTATACATTTTGACAGGCCATGAAAGTTAAGGCGGTGTTGCCGGGTGGTTAATAACCCATCAGACTGGTAATCTGAGGATTACTGACGATGTGGGTTCAAACCCCGACAGGAGCAAGCATTAAATTTTGTTTCTGAGCGCAAGAAACTTTGCTTAGAACTGGTTGGTTCCAAGAACGGATTTGAGCGTTTCAATAAGCTAATGCACAACACAATAGAAATTTTAAAAAATTAGTATAACAGATTCAATAAACTAAAGTAGTTGCTGTAGTTAAAGTTTATCGTTTCAATACTTTATTTCTCTGAAGGCCATGGAAAAAAATTGCACGACAAGAACTTATTTTATGGATCATTTACAAAGTTATTTTTGGCCTTGTAAATAATTGGGTATAATTATTTTGGGTCTTATTATATGGAAATTTTTTATATTGTAATATAAATATTTGTTATGTCTGTTTTGTATGAACTGTTTGTATATAACATTTGTATGTATTGTTTAGATGCCAGTGTTGTCTGTGGCTCGTTTGTGAAGAAATGAAACTTATACAATATTAGCATATTTTTTTTTCAATTTCAGAGCTTTCACTGTTAACTAAAATAGTATTTGTTGATAATGTTGTTATTATAGATCTACTTATTTGAGATTACATTAAAAGAAAAAAAAAAATACTTTACCCTTTTCAAGTTATTCTACTGGCAAGCATCATTGAATTTTTTAAAGGGAGATAATATAAAAACAAAACAACCCTGAGTAATGTAGAGTTGTGGTCCTTTAACAAATGCACTTCCTCTCACTAGGTTTTATGAATGTGTGTATATATGAAATGAATTTGAGTGGGATTAGATAAGGGAAAAACCAACATTTCTCCAGTTTCCGGTTAACACCAATTTGGATAATTGTACTCTTTACAATAACCTACTAACACTTTAAAATATACCACAGAAACTTACTTACCCCTAACATGTAATGATCAGTAACTTAATTACCCTGATACCCTGTTATAATAATATACATTCATAGTCTTTCATGTATATCCATATATCTGTCCTTTGAATATATAAATTTTCTTTATATTAGAAACAGATAATGTAAATAACTATCCTTTCCATTACATATAATTTAATATTTTTCATACAGGGATTTAAAGTAAATAACTATCCTTTTCATATATGATTTTTAAAAAATAACTATCCTTTTATTATACGTTAATGTAAATAAAATACCTTCTATTTTTCTATTTCTACCCCATAAATTGAAAATTTAAAAAATTTTTTTACTTTTGAATATGTTTGAATAAAAAATTTATCCCGGGTTTAAAGGAGACAAAAAAGTTTAATGAAAATTTAATTTTTTAAAAAAAAAAAGAAAAAAAAATTTACTCTACGGCATTACTTTTCATCAATTTAGACACACTTGGAACAACTGTTTTAACATTTTAAAGAAAATAGTTACTTGAAAAAATGAAGAACTGCTGTTTGATAAATAGATACTGACCAGGAATTAAAAGTTCACAAATTTTAAAAAAAACAACATAACCCCTCAGTATCTCACAGGGAAGAAAAGAAAATAAAAGATTGAAAATTGATGTATGTATAAATTTTTGTGTTATTTATTTTACAGTGAAGCCACAGCAGACCGCAGCACCATTCAAGAAAGCAGCGCCAATTTCTAGCGGTCCAATAAAGCCGAGGGCGATGATCCAGGCACCGATGGTCTCGCCAAAGTCCGCCCCCGATGTATTACAGACAAAAAGTGAGGAGAAAGATGTTGAGGTAAGCTGATATTTTATACCAGAGATGGCGTTTCTATTGATTGTTGTTAAAGCTTGAAGAATCACTATTAAAGATTTATACTAATTTTCATTGAAATTTTGAAAATGCATTTGAATTTGTAATATTGTGAAGTAACCAAAAGGAAGCAATCTACACATTATGAATGGCACTTACAAACCACGTAAAGTACCCAAAAGTGGTCAAAATATGTATAAATAGCCTCTACTGCGTTAGTAACGCAGTAGAAATATAGTTGTTAATACTGAAAAATCAGTCATTAACCACACACGTAATATGTAAAATATTACTTGAATCTTGAAACTTTTTACTTTTCCTTACATCTTAGTTCATTTTTCTCAAGTTTGATTTTATTGAGATATTTTGACTCATCTGGAGGCATGTAGCTTTAAAGGAACTCCACAAGCCTAAAAAACAAAATTAAGTTTCTTACAGAGATCCACCAGGGCACTTACAACAGAAAGATATGCAAAAGATACTTAAGAAATATACTCGGAATAAATTGAAAATCATATTTCAACGCTTTTCAATTTTGGATTATTTTCCACAATGAGAATAATCATTCTGAAAAAATGGAGTGATGGAATGATGTAAAATTTTGCACACACATTATTTGTCTTGACCTACATCAAATGCAACATTAATCTTGGAAAAATTATTTCCAGTCCCGTCATGTCAAAACTTGTCAGTTGTGTTCCTTTAACAGTGCACTGTGCTCAGGTGGGATTTTGAAAAAAGAAACAAATGATATTTTACAACTTTCTATAGAATTTTTTGGCACTTATGCCCCTGCCATAAAATGCAATTTCACCAAAAAATGGGTAATTGACGTAACAGCCATGGTCTCCCAAAAGTGATATCGGAAATAACTGATTTGCTACGATATTGGGCGATGTAAGTGTCACGGTTCAGAACTGTTCACTATCTAGGGCAGATGATGTGTATTAGCGGCTGGATAGCTCAGTCAGTAGACTGGGTATTCCGAGTTTGAGGTTCGAGTCCTGGTCCTGGCACATTTTTCTCACCCAGTGACATTTGAATTTTTTTAGTTGGGAAAGCATTACAGTAAGACTACCTTAATGTGTTACATGATCTTATATGTTTATCGAATTTTATCATTATTATTTCAGAAATCAGTGAGTACGGAGGAACTTACGGCAGAAATGGCGAACTTGGAGGGATTAATGAAAGACTTGAACGCTATTACGCAGCAAGACTTTGAATGCTAGCATTATGACAGTGGTCATACATTTTATATATATTATAGTGTCATAATTATACGATGAATCGAACAAAAGATTTCGAAGAAATCTCTATAAACAACACTTGAGTGCTAGAAATTTTGAAGAAAAAATATTATTTTGAGACGAACAAAGAGGAACAAAAGTTTTTATACGTCGTTGATTAGTTGATTTGCGGAACTATGAGACAAAAAGTAACTTTGTATCGCAATGTTGTTGTTGTTTATGATAAATGAAAATCTTTCTTGTGTGAAAGATAATTGAGGCATTAAAAAAAATCATTTGAAGGTATTCGTAAGGACAAGATTGGAATAGTTTAATATATTGGCCAAAGATAAATTTAAGATATTTGGCGATTTGATTTTAAAGTGTCAGTAATTCTATATATAGAGCAAATGGCGAAACATTATTTTGAATATCATGAAGATGGTGTTTTTATACTTCTGAGAGAAAACTGCCACAACTGTGAGATGTTCAGGAGGATCTCTCTTGGAGAACGTTGACAATGTTTTGGGTTTGATAGAAAAGTGTCAAAAGGTCATGGGATATCTATATTTAAATGTACAAAGTGTCTTAAATGAATGGGAGAAAGGATCTCAGTTAAATGTTTGTGCTGATGATGGAAAAAAAGAGAAAATTCTGACTTTCCGAGATGAGCAGAATGAAAGATACAACTAACCACGGATGAGCCGAATGAAAGATACAACTAACCACGGAGGAGGACTATGTTCAGGCACAACTAACCTTGGATGAACCAATGGAAGATACAACCAACCAAAGATGAATTAAACCAAAAGGAAAAGAAGGTGTTGAAGAATATACAGAAAGATACAACTTAACAAGGAGGAAAGAAATCTGTGGACTGAGTAATGTTAGTTGTATCATTTTGGACCAATGTATCACTTTTGATTCAGGTTTTAACTGGAAAACTGATTTTTTTTTTTTAATTATGAATTGCCAAAGGAATTTTTTTTATATATGGGTATAGGATAATATGTGATCATTAGTTTGTTTTTATAGGACATTTTTTTTAAGTGCAAAATTACATTACGTCATATTGTAAAGTATTCAGGCCACACCTTTAAACTGAATGTCAGATAATTATATGATTATTTCTCGTTTGGTATGAATGATGTTTATTTTTTACGGTTTGAATCTGTGGAAGAGCTTTATTGACTGAATTAAAGATTATTTCAAATTGATAGTATAAATGAAATTCTGTACTGGGAATAAATCTATGGAAGGGCTTTATCGCCTATATTTTAAAATAATTTCAAAATGGTAGTATTAATGAAATTCTGTACTAAAAATGAATATATGGAAGGGCCTAATGGCCTTTATTTAAAGATGACTTCAAATTCAAAGCATAAATGATAATCCGTAATGAAAAATGAATCTATGGAAAGCAATTATTGTCATAATATACTTGATGGTTTAATGAATTCAATGTTTTTATGAAAAATGTATTGGTGCCAGTCTCATGTTTTTAAAAGCAGTGTTCTGACTTACTAGAAGCTAAAAATCGTCTTGTTTTAACCCTTGGCAGTAAATGATAACTCTTTATTTTGATTGTCTACCTTTCATAATTTTGAAAAAGAGAACATAAAACTTTTAAAAATAAATGCTATTTGAACAATTAGCAATGATAAGAATAATTATGAAAGAAAATGGTATGAGTACTTGTTGAAAATAATAAGAAATTAATTTTGCTACAATGTCAATCAGTAGTATAATTTTGCTTAAATTTTTAAATTTTTTAATTGAACCTTCTGATTGATTTAGCCTGCACCCTCAGTGTGAGCTCTATTCTAATAAATAGACTGTATTGTTTTGTCTTAAAAAAATGGGCTTCCAGATGAGATGACATTAAAGTGAAGTTTTTTTGCATGAAGGAAAGGTTTCCTTGATAAGAATGGGGTTAAAACTATTTATCTAACATGTGATCCAAAGATTTGCTTCCCTTTGACAAAAATGAACACCTTCCACAATTTATACAGTATGTTTATTGCAACAGTGACTTCCCTTTGATGAGTTGCACCATTTGCACTTGAAGAACATTTTAAGAGTTGCTTCCCATAGATAAATAATTATTTACATAACAAGAGTTGCTGCCCTTAGATAAACAATTAGGACTTTATGATATTAAGATAAACAATTAGGACTTTATGATATTAACTTTCCTTAGATATATAATTTTTGTAAACAGTTTGAAAAGAGTTGTCTCCCTTTAACAAGCATATAATGGACATTACCACAGTTGTTTCCCTTTTGAAACTTTATGCTTAGGGTAATTTTTTGCAGCATTCCAGTACAGATTCATATTTGAGGGGTGGGGGAGGCTTATTGTTGTGTGAAAGTACTGACCCATATTTCATGTGCATGTTAAGGTACACCATTGAGAAAAATAATCGAAAAAATATTTTTATATACCATTTGAATGAATGAATTGAAAATTATAATTTATGCATCTTTAAAGTGTGTAATATTCTATTTCAGATGTAATTTATTTATTGTATACTTTTTTTATTATAAAATGGCATTGCTGCAAATATGTAATTTGTTATATAATTTGTAATTACATTTTTGTTTAAGGGTTCATTCTTTTTTAAGTACATTTTTTGCACATTTCATGAACAATTTTAAGCCCATTTATTAGAGAAATATTCAGATTAATCTATACATGGTTGTGTTGCGCACATCCTGGTTTCTAGTTCGTATCTCATTGACTGATAATGATATTAATTTGAATTTTCACAAATGTTTCCATTGTCATGGATATTGGTCTTTGTCCAAGGCACATAACTCTGGCATGGATTTTCACTGAGTAATTCCCCTTTGGTAGCATAATGTTTTTTTCTTTACCTATGTTTATTTCTATCTAGCAAAATGAAAAAGTCAAGCATATTGTGTAACCATCTTTAGGACAAAACTTATTTTTTTACAAATTTTTTACAATGATTTGATGCAATTTTTTTCTTTTACAAATAGGTCTTATTTAGGATTATGTGTAATACAAATTGAAAGAATGTTAAGGTGTTTGTCTGAACAAATTTTCATTTTATATCTTGTCAAATATTGATAATAGATGTAAATGGTATTTACAGAAATGTTCAAGGCTAAAGGCTGGACATTAGTGATAAAAAAGGCCTTGTTTTCACATTACTTTCCCTTAAAGTTGTATTCAATGTGACCTGTCAAATAAGAATAGCCATCTTAAAAGCACCTAAATGACCTACATAATTGAAATGATGTGACCTGTATTGTCTATATAAAAACATGAAATTGTTCTTTATTTTAGAAATGTCCTTTAGTACAAAATTGACCTTTATTACACATTTGATCTGTAATGAAAAAGGTTGACCTTTACATTTGAAAAAATAGGCTTTGAATTTTCAGTAAAGACCTTATTTGAGAAATTTTTTTATGCAGAATAGAAAACAAAAAAAAAATGGTTAAATTATAAAGAGATGACCTTCCCCTTTATTAGAAGATTTATATGGAAAATGATCCTTTTATAAAAGTGAATGGCCTTGACCTTTACAGGAAATGAATGATCATTTAAAAAAATGGGAAAAGAAAGTGTCAAAAATGGTCATTTAATTGTTAAAATTGACCTTGACCTAGAAAAGAAAGTGATGACCTTGAGAGTTGACCGTTTTAGGGGGAAGAAATATTGTCAGAAGTAAAATGTGGTCATTAAATTGTATAAGAATTTACCTTGACCTTTATTAGAAATTGATGACCTTTGTATGAAAGGTCATGTTGAATGCAACTATAGCAACCAGATATGAACTGCTTGGTGTTGTAGTAGGTTTTAAGTTTTGTAGTATAAAATACATTTGAGCTGCGCCATGACAAAACCAACGTAATGCGTTTGAGACCAGCATGTATCCAGACCAGCCTGCTCAGTCTGATCAGGATCCATGCTGTTCGCTTACAGACTCTATAACAAGTAGAGAAACTGATAGCGAACAGCATGGATCCGGATCAGACTGCGCGGATGCGCAGGCTGGTCTAGATCCATGCTGGTCACAAATGCATTACGTTGGTTTTGTCATGACGCAGCTCATTAAAATCTGTTCTTCAAAGTGCCATTTTTGATCAAACTATGTTTTCCAGTTCAATGCTTCTCTATTTTGTACAAATGTGCAAGAAAATGTTGTAGTTTTATAGATAATTATTCATTAATTATTTCAGTCGTTTTGTCACCATATCTTAATATTGTCATATGTTCAAAAATGAAGTTTTTTAGTGATTTTTTTACATGTATATTTGTAAATTTTTTAATTATTATTACTGTTAAGTGTTTTATTGAAAAAAAGTTTGTAAATGATTTACATATCTCATAATTTCATGATTTCCATGGCAAAGTTTTATTTTTTTGTTTCAGGTAAAACACTTGATTTTTTAGCGGCTTTTTGTTTTACATTTTTTATACACTTGACCCACCTGAGGTTTTAAGGGTGTAGTGTTAAATTAAAGATATTTAGTGAAACTAAATCAGGTAAAAAAGAAACATTTTATTTTCCCCATGAAAATACTGGTACATTTTTAAATTGATATTTCTTGAATTTTACATTTTGGCTGCCAAAATTTTTTTTTATATTTCTGCTGAAAATGTTTTGACATATATGGAATTCTACATATAACATACATATATTTTGATATTTTCTTGAAATTCTACATTTTGGCCACAAAACTATTTTGAATTTTCATGAATTTTACCTTTTGATCGCGAAAATATTTTGGCATTTTCTTGAAATCTTTATCTTGGCTAGTGTAACATTTCTTTAATTTAGTCCTTTTGATATCAGATTTAAAAAATAATTTTTTTTTGCCCTTTCTTAAATCAAACATTTTTGGCGCAAAAAAAACCCAAAAAAACTAAAAAACTTTTTATATTTCTTTTATAACCCATTAGGTATGAATAGATCTCAGTTAGTTGTACACAGCGGCAAAACAGCAAGACATCGATTTCTTTTTATAGATTTTTTAATTTATTCATTTTTTTTAAATTATATATACAGCCCTATGACAGTGCAAAATTTGGCATAGATATAATTGTTTCCCTTTTTTTCTTTATATACATGATGATGTTTCAGTGATATATAAACATATACTTTTGCTATTTATAGCTCCATATCTACATACACAATGACTCCTTTTTTTGGCAGGCAAATCTAAGTGTTGTGAATTTTGTACTTTTATTACCCGAGTTTTTTTTTTTCTTACATGCACAAACAAGTTTTTAGATATCTTTTTTTGTGAGTCCAGCACCGTGTTGTGAAGTTACTTTATGTGTCCATTTTGTTTATATTTTACTTCCATTATGGCATCCCTTCATTCTATTTATAGAACCAATAGCATGTATAATTAGCATTGTTTTTAAAGCGCAAAAAAAAACTTTTCAGTTTCAATGAACACACAATTTTTTTTTATATACCAAATGTTCAGCATTAAATTCTTGTTTTAATGTATAATGCTAAATGAATTTTTGGCCATTGGGGTATAAAAAAGTGGACAGAAAATGGGAAATTAAACAGTTTAAGGTAAACTTTACAAGATTTATTAATATTTTAGATTTTCCCAGCAAATCCAGAGGTATTAACTTGACTTTTACAGTTACAATTTTGTGGTGTAGCAGTTAATTTTGTTCAGTTCTTGTATATCACATTTTAAATACAAAATCAAAATAATGCAGAAAATAGTAGTAAAAAATTTAGCTAACATACAAAATCAAAGCACAGAAGGCGCTGAATTTGTTTGGGTCTCAGAATGTAAGAAAGGTGCAGGTTGTGAGATTATATGTTTAGTGCCACCAATGCTTTCCAGCGTTTTAATTGTAGTAAATTGGCTATAAGACTAATTGCAACACTGATATTCAATCCAATGTTTATTTGACTTTAACAATTTAAAAAAATGAGTTACCTTTACTGGGATTTGAACTCCAGACCTCTCGCTTCCTAAGCGAGCCCGAAAACCCTTCAGCCACGGTTAAATTTGTATGTGAACGGCCTGAAGAAAACCATATTATTCTAAATTAGGGCTTGTAACGACTTTTAACTGTTGTTTAACACAGATGTAAATAATCCTGAAGCTTACTATAAGCATGTATATTTATAAAGAATCAAAGGGCTTCAAGTTCTTTGGTATTTTCTGATCTTTGCAATCTAAATTGTACTGTATATCTGTATGCATTTTCCTGTATAAGTTTATTTTTATGTATTATAATTCATTTTGTAAGGCACATACGGAATTCTGCATAACTAGAGTTGCATCAAAAAATCATTTATGTACTTTTTTTACGACAGCCACACTTTATCCTTGTAAATCATGGCTACTTCCTTAACAAAAACAATTTAAAAAAGAATTTAACAAAAAAAAAAAAAAATTCCTCGACTGGATTCGAACTCGAGACCTCTCACTCACTAAGCGAGCGCGTTACCACTGTACCACGGAGAAGTTATACACAGAATGTCTGAATAATATCAAGTCATTCTAAATTTAGAACTTCCTTGCATTCAGGTTTGTAATCCTTATTAATTTCGAGGTATTTTGTTCAGGGTAAACCTGTTGTTTAAAATTGAAGTAATATTTTAGCGAAAATCCATTCGCCCAAACAGTCCGACATGTAGAATCTATATATTCCACTACTCGGTTTGTGTAGTATTCGGTAATCTACATGGCTAAAATAGTATTTTCATTGATAAAATCATATTCATCCGCGTAATTTGTGATTGTGCATTTATTGACAATTCAATAAGCCAACGCTATTGTTTAACTTTTAAATGCGTTGTAATTTGTTGGATACTTGTAACAAAATAAAATATTTCTTTCTTTTAAATCGCTAGTTTTAAGCTGTTTTGAGAACTACTTGTTGTTAGGTTTGTCATAAACTTCTGTGTCAGAGATTGAATGTCCGCTTTGTATTTAGTTATTTTCGATCAGAAAATACCAGAAAACAATATTGGAAAGCTTCGACCATTCGGGAATTACTTTGCTTGAAAATTGATGCGCCTGTCTTTGACCATCTTTACGCAGTGATCTCCCCTGAATTTTTCGGCTTTAGTGTACATACAAAAGGGAAGTAACCGCTTCAAAAAAGTGGACTACTTTCGGCATTTGCAATTAAGAACATTAGACTCTGAAATTTCGCTACCATTATTTGTTTGGTCTGACGACCCAAACAAATAAAAAACCAAAAAAATGTCGAATAAACAAAAACCATAAAACTCTTTATTTCTGTACAAGGTCTTGAACAATCCTAGTCTGTTTTGCAAATGTATTAAAAAAATTATGATGAAATAACATATTTGATCATTTTTATAGAAAATATTTTGGAAAAGAATATTTTTTTTTGGATAATAGAAAAATATATCAACTACAGAATAAATGTGATGGGTAATTCAGCAAATGTAAGTTTGCCCCAGCTTTTTATGGGTTTACCCCATAAACAAGCAATTAACATTGTAATTTGAATTATAGATTTTTTCTATGAGTTTAGAAAAGAGTGGACACACTGTTGTGCCTAATTTACATATATACCATTAATAACTGCAACACCAAAAAAATTGTAACTGTAAAAAGTAAAGTTAGTACCTTTGGATAAGCTGGTAAATTCCAAGATATTCATAAATCTTGAGTAGGCTAACTCTATTGGCAAAATTTACCTGAAATGATTAACAAAGTTTACCTTGAATTAGCAAGTTTAATATAACGATTTCAAGTACCTGTCTCATATTACTAATGAATTAATTGTATTTAGCTCGTAATTTTTATTTGATTTTCAAAACCAAACTTTCATATTCTCAGATATCATGTTCTGTGTTACAAAACTTAACTGTGAATTTCTGTCTGTTCAAATATGCATACTTGTATACTATTTTTTGTGTAATCGAGGAGTAATTTTTTAACACATGTGTAGTGCATATGATTCAATTTTGAACCAGTGTTGTAATGCAAATATTTGATAATCGAGTAGTTTGAAATATCTGTAACATTAATATTCAAATTTGATGACGTAATTATGTTTAGTTACTGAAATTTACTAAAAATGCGGATTTTTCTTTTGTGGGGGCTACAGGTTCAAATTTGTGTTTTTATACATGTATATTTTTTTGTTTGTTCGATGAACAACCTTATAATATTTTCATATATACTAAACTTGGTTTAATGGCTGAATTTTGGCCAGTAGATAGGGTGAACATCAACTTCCGACTGGTAAAGCTTCTGTCATCAAGTCAAGTTTGAACGATGTTATGTGGGATGGTCAAATATGAAATTGCGTGCTTTTTTTACCCATTATTCCATCTCATAATCTGATGACGTAATGATTGTCATGTCATAATTTCACAATGTCATAATTTCACAATGTCATAATTTTCATGATGTCATAACTTTCATGATGTCATAATTTCACAATGTCATAATTTTCACAATGTCATAACATTCATGATGTCATAACTTTCATGACATTAGAATACGGATTATAACGGCGTATTTCATACAAATATTACATTTTTTAATGGCTATATCAAACAAGGGAAAGAATTTTACTTTAAAGTTTGATATTTACAATTTTGATATGTTTAAATGTGTGCAAATTTACATAGGTTTTTTATATATAAAAATTAATCAAAGGTTGCAATGTAATATGTGTTTTATCATACGTCACGTGACCATTTATCATACCTCACGTGACCATTTTTCAAACATCACGAAATTGACCATTTGTCATACATTATGTGACAGTTTATGATTATCATACATTACGTGATCATTTATCATACATCACGTGACCATTTATCATACACCACGTGGCTGGGTTTATTTTTAGTATCGTACGTCACGTGACCATTTATCATACATCACGTGACCATCATGTCATATGTTCTTTTTTATCATATTGTCATAATGGAAATCAGTCTCATTATTAAAAATGGAATATGCTGACTTTAAATAAAATAAATATGAAATATAAATATGTTGTGTTTAATCATTATTTACGATGCACACACTTCAGTTATTCCTACATATTCAGTCCCCTAGGGGTAAATGGTGGCTGCAATTCTTATGTCTCAACCATTAAAGGCAACCCCTCAGCCAAAACGGGCACACCTTGTTTGTGTGAATGTAGCTGAGGTACAGTGGTTTAGGTTAAAGGAAGATATCGAGCTACTTTAATGTAAGTTTGCTATTATTGTAAGGATGATGGGCTGTTATCCAGTATAAACAAACAACTATTTTTAATGACAATGAACATACAATGTCAGCCAACATTTGAGGAAAATTCGTGATCATGACTCGGTGAGTCCGTGAAAGTGTGTGATTTTTTGCCCACAAAAAACAACGGTCCCCAAACAAAAACATAAATATAGTCTTACTGTAATGCTTTTTTCGCCAAAAAATTCTACATCGGCCAAATTCGTAGCAAATCGGTTATTTCCGGAATGTTATTTTTTCACAATCTAAGGCATTAGTTTATTTACAATGACTCTTCCTTTATCGCTATGTAGTAAATTCCGGTTATAAATTATTGAATAGATTTTTGGAAATGACCGATTTATTACGATATTGGCCGATGTTAGAATTATTTTTGGCGGGAAAGCATTAAGTAAGACTATCTTAAGATCTATGTGCTTAGCATGTGCTATTTAATAAAAAAAATATTTACAGCAGTTTCCTACTAGGAATCGAGCTGAAACCTTAAAAATTGGCATACACCACACGGTGTTGTGGTGTTGTCACCCTGAAATAAATTGAGAAAACAAGCGACAATTTATATACAAGTTCATCGTTTTTAGACAATTTAAAATTACTGTTTGTTTATAGATGAAATTGTTATTGTTAATTATGCCCCCACCCCTCCCCCTTCAAAGAAGTGTGGTATATTGCTTTGCATTTTTCCGTGGGTAGACCAAATGGTTCCGATCAATAAACGAAAGAACGCCTAGGCCTAGGAACTTCAAACTTAGTATCGGGATTGTTCATGACCAGTAGATTACCCATATTGATTTTGGGGTCAAAGGTCAGGGTCACATTGACCTTGTGGGTAAAATCGGTTCCTGATCAATAACTTAACAACCAATAGGCTGTTGGTCCTCAAACTTTGTAGGTGCTTTGGTCTTGACAAATAGACGACCCGTATTGATTTTGGATTCGAGGATCAGCTAGTGAATAATATACGAGAATTTTTTATCACCTGTCAGTGAAGGTGTCTCTAATTTTACAATGGCATACAAGTGGTTATGATGCCTGAACCTCGGCCTAGAGGTCGTGGGTCCGAGCCATACTTGAAACAGAGCCGTGTTTATTCTCTTTATACAACTACTGTGGTAATTAGACCCTTTCATTTTAGACCGTATTAAAGTTGTCGCCCTTGGATGACGTCATGGCTGGTTCCTGTATTCCTACTTGAATAATGTAATCACCCCGTGCATGATATTGCCTGCTTTTTGAATTTGTCTGTCTTTTACCACTTCCTGCCATGAACAAGCTTAATCAAACCGAGGCTGATTGGTTCAATATTGGCCCCGCCCCAAGGATCACTCGATTTGCAAATAAAAAAGAAGTATTCTGACTTCCATACAAAAAATAAATCACCGTACTGCTTTACTTATTGTTAAGACAAGGCGAGAATTTATCGCCGGTGCTCTTCTCAATCTACCTAAATGACCTAAGTCACAATTGACGCTACAACCCAGTTTTTAAAAATATCAATATTACTATATGCAGACGACACGGTCGTAATAGGCGAAAATCAGGAATCATTCCAGTCCTGTCTCAATGATTTTCACAAATATTGCGAGACTTGGAAATTAAATATAAACTTTCAGAAAACTAAGGTAGTTGTCTTTGGCACAAATAAACACAAGTCATATATTTTCAATATAAATGGTCAAATGGTCAATCAATCGAAACAGTAACGGAATATAGGTGTTATTTTCTCTAGCTGTGGTTCATTTCTTGCGTGTAGGAAACACCTAGTTTCACAAGCAAACAAAGCCATGAGAGTTCTATATAAGAGAATAAACAACATTGACCTTCCCCTAGACCTACAAATAAAGTTATTCGACCATACAGTGCTTCCCATTCTCACATAATTATGGAAGTGAAATATGGGGGTTCGAAAATTTAAATATCATAGAACAAGTCCATTCCAATTTTTTACGCAATATTACTAATACCAGAAAAAGTACTCCTAGATATATGTTATATGCTGAACTTGGGCGCTATCCTATCGAAATAAACATCAAATCTCGTATGATAAATTTTTGGAATAAACTTATTCAGTCTAAGGAATCAAAGATTTCATATATGTGTTACAAGTATATGATACAGTCTAACCAAAACTTTAAATGGATCAACTATGTTAAAAGTATACTTGACTCTACAGGTAATTCTATTTTATGGTTAACTCAAAATAATATCCAAGCTAAATGTATTAACAAATTGGTTAAACAAACATTAATCGACCAATATAAACAAGAATTGTTCTCACAACTAGAAAACTCGCATAAAGGTAGACTCTACAGTATGGTAGTTTTAAAAACAGTTTTAATCTAGAATATTATTTAAATATTCTCCCCCACCCCTTAGGTTATCTCTTTTGCATTTCCGAACTGCTAACCATCGTTTCCCAGTAGAAACGGATCGTTGGAATCAATCTTTTAAACCTCATGTGCAAAGAAAGTGCCAAAAATGTAACTCGGGGGGACATTGGCGATGAGATGCAATATCTGTTAAAATGCCCTTTTTTCAGAACTAAAAGAAGACAGCTAATACCAGAGAGATTCTTTATTAGACCAAATATACTGAAATTTAAGGAACTACTAACAAACCTTAGCTTATATGTTAAGCTACAGTCTCACTAACATCCCGGCAGAGCCCCGGCAGAGCCCTGGTAGACGTCCGGGGTGATCCGGGAACGACCGGGGTACGACCGGGAACAACCGGGGTACATCCGTAACTCTGCCGGCAACGTCCTGGATGATCCGGGATGATCCGGGAACATCCGGCATTCAACCCCGGATGGAATAAAATATTTAATATCACCGGGGTGGTCCGGGATGATCCGGGAAGGTATAGCTTTGCCGGCATCATCCTTAGCTCTGCCGGGAACGACCGGGGTGATACCGGGAAAGCACTGTAGCTCTGCCGGCACAAACCGGGGATGATCCGGGCTATGATATAGCCGGTAGAGCTACGGTAAAGCTACGGTAGAGCCCCGGTATATGCCGGCAGAGCCCCGGTAACTACAGGCAGAGCCCCGGGGGATAAAGGTAGAGCTACGGTTGATCCCGGTAGAGCCCCGGCAAAGCCCGGATCATTTAAAAAAAATAAGGACAATTTGTGATGATTAAACTTGTTTGTATTAAAAGCCTTCCCATTTCCCTTCTATCCAGTATTTAGAATATAGTTATAAGAATATCAAGAACTCAAAACTTTATTTTTTTCACCGCTTTCAAATAAATACTTCAAATATTGTCCGCTTTCCCCATCGAATACAGGAACACTAAAACCCAAAACATAATTAATTAGAATATTTTTGACCATGTTGTTACCCATACTAATTATTTATGCTACTCTTCGTTCACATGTTATTGCTTGATACATGTTAAATGTGTATTATGTAATCTGTGACAATTGAAAATAAAGTGATTTGTATTGTATTGTAAAAAGTAACAGGTACATGTAATTGGACAGTAACTTTTCGGAAACTACAAATGTAAAACAAGGAATCATTTTTTCTTTTTCTTCATTTTTTATATATTTTTTGTTATAAAAATAAAAGCATATCTAAGACTTAATGGACCTTTTAAATTAACTTTCATGTGTAAATAAGTTGACTTTCACACTTTCTTGCATGAAAATCTGGAAAGAAAGTGATCCCTCGGAAGCATTAATCACAACACAATTACATGAAAATTGCAGACTCGGTTTGATTGAGTCGGTACAAGAGAGACAATTAGTAAGTGCAACATCGCTCACGCCACCTAGCACCGGCTTGAGCGATACTCAATTCTCCACACCTTAACCTGCTTGCATCAATGATTCCGAAGGACCAGAAAAATATGTCAACACTGAAGTGAAGTATGGGGCATCTTTTTACAGCTGCCATACGGCACTTGACTGAACCGCAAACAAGTATACATTAACTCTGAAACGTTAAATATGCAGTTTACATTCTTGAAACGTATATTTAACAATAAATTGAAAAACAAAAACAGCATCGAGTAATGGATGGAAATTTAAAACATCGTTTTCTGTAATAGTATCGTGCATGCTATTCCGATATGCAGCGGAACTTGATGAAATAGACACATAATGACAAGAGTTATGCCGGCTCGCCACGGCGAGCCGGTATTACGGTAGGATTTTACTGAGAAACAACCTAAAACTCCGAAGCTATCCAAAAATTTAATCGAAGCTTGGCTTCCAGCTTTCTACAAAATTTATCTATCAGGGCTAGGATCCAAAATTATTTAGCCAATCAAATTTAATCTTACATAGCGTCAAAAAACCTTCAATTTTCACGCCATTTTTAAAAATCAGCAAGTATTGTTTTGAGCGCAAAGATATAATGATGATTAAAATGTTTGTCTTTATGAATTCTTTTCAATAAATCATATTTACACTGACTTCTGATTTAGCGATTTCACCTGTTTTCTCTGTAGTAAGTTTTCGTTTGGTTAATTAACATAAGTGTACATCTGGTTCTGTGCATTTTTTATTTTTCCTTTTTTCCGGTCATTTTATCCTTTCCGGTATTTAGTGTATGTATTTACTGGCCGGGATCCGGAACGCCCGGGATCCGGGATCGTATAAGATATGGAGGAAAAACCTAATGAACTATATTTGTGTTGATTGTTGTCGTAATGAAAGGCCATAAAACGTTAATTTTTTTTATTGTATATAATGAACGTTAAATTAATTTAACTTAGAATATAGATATATTTAGAGCTATTTATTAACAAACTTA